AAGAAGGAATAATAAAGAAAATAAAGGAAGAAGAAGAAGAAGAAGAAGAAGTTAAGAAGAAGAAGAAGAAATAGAAGAAGTTAAATAACAAGTTAAATAAAGGAAATAAATAAATAAAAAAAAGAAGAAAAGAAGTTGAAGAAATAAATAAAGAAATAAAAGTACAAATAAATAAATAGAAATAAATAATTAAACAAATAAAGAAAAAGTAAAAAGAAGAAAAAATAAAGAAAATAAATAAAAAAGAAATAAATAAAAAAATAAATAAATAAAGAAAGAAAAAGAAGAAACAAAGCTAAATAAAAAAAATAAATAAAAAAAGAAATAAAGGAAAAGAAATAAATAATAAAGAAAGCAAGAAGAAAAAAAGAAGAAGAAAAATAAAGAAATAAATAAATAAAACAAGAAGAAGAAGAAAATAAATAATAAATAAATAAAAAATAAAAAAATAAAATAAATAAAGGAAGAAAAGGAAATAAATAAAATAAATAAAGAAGAAATAAACAAAAAAAGAAATAAAGAAATAAAGAAAATAAAGAAAGAAATAAAGATGAAGCCAAGAAATGAAAAAAATAAAAAATAAAGAAGAAGAAATAAAAAGAAGTAAAAGAAGAATAAATAAAGAAGAAACAAATAAATAAAAGAAATAAAATAAACGAAATAGCCAAAAAAACAAAAATAAAGTAAGAAAAAAGAAAAAAGAACAAATAAATAGTTAAATAAAGAAGAAGAAATAAAATAAATAAATAAAAAAATAAAAAAAATAAGAAAATAAAGAAATAAAGAAAGAAATAAATAAAAGAAGTTAAATAAGAAAGAAATAGATAAAGAATAAAAAAAAGAAGAAGGAAATAAAGAAATAAAGAAATAAATAAATAAAGAAATAAAGAAAATAAGAAATAAATAAAATAAAATAAATAAATAAATAGTAAGAAATAAAGTAAAGAAAAAAAGAAATAAATAAATAAATAAATAAATAAGAAAATAAAGGAAAGAAGAAAAATAAAGAAATAAAAAAGAAATAAATAAATAAAGAAAAGAAGAAATAAAGAAAATAAATAAAGAAGAATAAAAGAAATAAAATAAATAAAAAAAGAAGAAGAAGAAGCAAATAATAAATAAATAAAGGAAATAAAGGAAGAAATAAATAAATAAAGAAGAAGAAATAGAAAGAAATAAAGAAAGGAAGAAGAAGAAGAAGAAATAAAGGCAAATAAGTAGGTTAAAGAAATAGTAAATAATAAAAGAAAAAGAAGAAATAAAAAAAAGTTAAATAAATAAATAAAGAAGAAATAAATAAATAAAGAAAGTTAAATAATAAATATAAAACAGGTTAAATAAAAAAGAATAATAAATAAAGAAAGAAAAAGAAGAAATAAATAAAGAAAGAAGAAGAAATAGTCAGTTTAAATAAAGAAGTTAATAATAAAAAAGACAAATAAAATAAATAATAAATAAGAAAAAATAGTCAAAGAAAAAAATAAGATAGAAATAAAAAAAATAAAAAATAAACTAAATAGAAGAAAATAAAATAAAGAAAAATAAGAAGAAAATAAGAACAGAAAAAAGAAGAAATAATAAAGAAGAAGAAGAAGGAAGAAGAAGAATAAAAGAAGAAGAAGAAGAAGAAATGAAGAAGAAGAAGAAGAAAAAATATAAAGAAAGAAGAAAGAAAAGAAGAAGAAGAAAAGAAGAAGAAAGAAGAAAAAAGAAGAAGAAGAAAGAAGAAGAAGAAGAGAAGAATAAAAGAAGAAGAAGAAGAAGAAGAAGAAGAAGAAGAAATAAAGAAGAAGTTAATAAGAAGAAGAAGAAGTTAAAGAAGAAGGTAAAGAAGATAAATAAAGGTACGAAGAAGAAGCCAGCAAATAAAGAAATAAATAAAATAAATAGGCTGAATAAATAGCTGAAGAAATAAATAAATAGCTAGCTAAAGAAGAAGAAGGTATTGAAGAAGAAGAAGAAGAAGAAGAAACAAGAAGAAGAAGAAGAAGAAGAAGAAGAAGAAGAAGAAGAAGAAGGCTAGAAGAAGAAGAAGAAGAAGAAGAAGAAGAAGAAGAAGAAGAAGAAGAAGGAAGAAGAAGAAGAAGAAGAAGAAGAAGAAGAAGAAGAAGAAGAAGAAGAAGAAGAAGAAGAAGAAGAAGAAGAAGAAGAAGAAGAAGAAGAAGAAGAAGAAGAAGAAGAAGAAGAAGAAGAAGAAGAAGAAGAAGAAGAAGAAGAAGAAGAAGAAGAAGAAGAAGAAGAAGAAGGAAGAAGAAGAAGAAGAAGAAGAAGAAGAAGAAGAAGAAGAAGAAGAAGAAGAAGAAGAAGAAGAAGAAGAAGAAGAAGTTAGAAGAAGAAGAAGAAGAAGAAGAAGAAGAAGAAGAAGAAGAAGAAGAAGAAGAAGGAAGAAGAAGAAGAAGGAAGAAGAAGAAGAATAAATAAATAAAGAAGAAGAAGAAATAGCGAAGAAGAAGAAATAGCTGAAGAAGAAGAAGAAGAAGAAGAAATAAGAAGGTATGAAGAAGAAGCAATAAAGAAGAAGAAGAAGAAGAATAAATAAATAAATAAAATAAATAAAGGAAGAAGAAATAGTTAAAGAAGAAGGAAGAAGGAAGAAGAAGAAGAAGAAGAAGAAGAAGAAGAAGAAGAAGAAGAAGAAGAAGAAGGAAGAAGAAGAAGAAGAAGAAGAAGAAGAAGAAGAAGAAGAAGAAGAAGAAGGAAGAAGAAGAAGAAGAAGAAGAAAAGAAGAAGAAGAAGAAGAAGAAAGAAGGAAGAAGAAGAAGAAGAAGAAGAAGAAGAAGAAGAAGAAGAAGAAGAAGAAGAAGAAGAAGAAGAAGAAGAAGAAGAAGAAGAAGAAGGTTAGGTAAAGGAAGAAAGGAAGAAGAAGAAGAAGAAGAAGAAGAAGAAGAAGAAGAAGAAGAAGAAGAAGAAGAAGAAGAAGGAAGAAGAAGAAGAAGAAGAAGAAGAAGAAGAAGAAGAAGAAGAATAAATAAAGAAGAAGAAG